GAATTTGGAATGTAGCATTTTCTTTATTTCTTTTAATAGTTGATTTTCAATTTGATTTCTTTAGCCTAGGCGTTATTGTAATCATTGTCTTGTAAGGGAGAAATCCATTAGTCTCTCAAATAAAAGTGGATTTAATTATAGGCATTACATGATTTCACCAGGAATACAGGACCAGGAACTGGGGCCTACAGTGACCTTTGAAAAGAGTAAGTAGTTAGGAACTGAGGTATCTTTCTGGCTTGCCACATAGTTCCTCTTACGTATGGCATTAGCTTGGTCACTCTTTTTTGAGGGATTATGTTAATCTGGTAGTTTTTCTTTATTCTTACTTATAAATGAAGACGTAGATGATGATGATTATTTTTTGAGATGGAGTCTTGCTCTGTCACCCAGTCTGCAGTACAGTAGTGTGATCTCCGCTCACTGCAACCTCCACCTCCCAGGTTCAAGCGTTTCTCCTGCCTCAGCCTCTCTAGTAGCTGGGACTACAGGTGCGAGCCACCACGCCCGGCTAATTTTTGTGTTTTTAGTAGAGATGGGGTTTTGCCATGTTGGCCAGGCTGTTCTTGAACTCCTGACCTCAGATGATCCACCCCATTTGGCCTCCCAAAGTGCTGGGATTACAGGTGTGAGCCACTGTGTCCGGCCTGAGGTAGATTATTTTAATATTGTAACTGGAGTAGGCAGTATTAATAATACAGTTTGTCAGTTGCCCTCAGCGGCTTCTCATCTCCTCCTGTATTATATACATCATAGCAGATGGGGAATCTGCAGAGCTTATATTGACCTTTACCGTTATTTCTAACCTTATTAGCACTTCCCTAAATTCTAGGCTGTTTTTGCAGTTTCTATCTCATGTTTTAGAATTGAAGAGCAATCTCAGGGAAATATTTTTATTCACTGGTGATTACATGTAACTATCATGTATACCTGTTTGATGAGGTTCTTTTTTTTTTTTTTCCGAAATGGAGTTTCCCTCTTGCTGCCTAGGCTAGAGTGCAGTGGCATGGTCTCGACTCACTGCAACCTCCACCTCCCGGTTTCAAGCGATTCGCCTGCCTCATCCTCTTGGGTAGCTGGGATTACAGGCACCTGCCACCACGCCTGGCTAATTTTTTTGTATTTTTAGTAGAGATAGGGTTTCACCATGTTGGTCAGGCTGGTCTCAAACTCCTGACCTCAAGTGATCCACCCACTTTGGCCTCCCAAAGTGCTGGGATTACAGGTATGAGCCACCGTGCCCAGCTTAATGAGTATTTTCTACCTAATGAGGTAGCACCTTCAGCTTGTGTGTAGTGTTTCAATTATATAATATCCCAGTTTTAAAATTTTTAATAATTTTGTGTTTATTTTCATTTGATAAAGGAACAAGGTTGATATAAAACTCTGGTCTTAATTTATGTTAGTTTTTGTTTGGAATTTAGATTATGTATCTTTTTACACAATTCATTATGCCAACACATTTCTCTGTAGGGAAATTCCTCTGTAGAACACATAGCAGTTTTAACTGAAGTGGGCTGACTCGGGAGCCTTTGAGAGGCAGCACAGTGGAGTGGAAAAACCACTTGGAAAAAATTAGACTAAAGATACTGACATCAGAGGTTGATGGAGAAAAATAACTGAAATCCGTTCTTGGTAGTGTCAGCAGGCTAACCTTAACCCCCATGAGGGCTCTGGCAACCCTCTCTACTCACCACACCCACTCACTGGAAGAAGGGCCCGAAACTTGGTGGAAGACTAAGTTAAGAAAAAATAGGTATTACTTCTAGAGGAAGTGGAATCTGGGAAGGTTTGCCAAACAACATATTCATAGAATTTTACTTGGTAAACTGCTTTGAGATTATTTTATCAGTAAGTGCTAAATAAAGGAGAAGGATTTTTGTTTTTTGTGTTTTGTTTTTTGAGATGGGGTCTCATTCTGTCGTTCAGGATGGAGTGCAGTGGCTCCATCTTGGCTCACTGCAACCTCCACCTCCCTGGTCCGAGAAATTCTCCTGCCTCAGCCTCCCGAGTAGCAGGGACTACAGGCATTTACCACCACGCCCGGCTAATTTTTGTATTTTTAGTAGAGACGGGGTTTCACCATATTGGCCAGGTTGGTCTTGAACTCCTGACCTCAAATGATCCACCCACCTTGCCTCCCAGAGTGCTGAGATTATAGGTGTGAGTCACCATGCCTGGCCAAGGAGAGAGATTTTTTTTGGATGCTGGTTATTTTAAAATAGAAATTGATGACCAGAGGGAGGAAATGACTTTCCCAGGGTCCAAAGTCTTGGTACTTGGGCTTGAACAACAACTGCTGATTGCTGGCTTGAAGTTTTTCACAGGGCCCTGTTGACTTCATTACCTTTGGCTGTGTCTCCAGCAGTACTTTATCTTTGCAGCATTTTGTAATGCAAAGACTGTCCCTCTGCTGTTCAGAATTCTGTGATTCCACATTCATAGTCTAAGCCCTTATGTCTTACTTTTTGTCTGTTTACAACAGTCGATAGAGCCAGTTGCATTAACATCCTTTGTCAAATAATGTTATCACTGGAAATATGAGATATGAGACCTCCTAGAAATTCCTTGTGAGAATCAAGCTTAGGTAGGGTGACTTTGTGCTTTATTTTGTCATTTCTGTAAAACATTCTTAAAATGAGGAGTATCTGACAGTAAGTATAAGGAGTGAAGCAAAGTAATGAATTCTGAATTAGAAAAAATCATAGTTATATTGTATCTGTGTGATTGCCTTTTTTAGTGTTAGTGTTCCACAATCAGTTGAAGTATTTACTAAGATTGAAGGAAAGATGCATCGTATTACTCGCTTGGGTAAACCCTTCCCAAGAAGCTGTTGTCTTCCATTTAATGCATGAGATGTTGAGTAAGCTGTGACTGGTTTGTTATGAGATAGGCCAAAAGTTTTCTTGTTTTCCTTCTTTGTTGTCTGCACTAGAGAAGTAAGATGAATAAAATCTTCATCTTGCATGTGGAGGAAATAAAGCAAATTGAAATACAGTGACCATGGCATTATGGTATGTGTTGCTATTTAGAGTATGATTTAGAGCTGCATTGTCCAGTGTTTGGTAGCTAGTGGCCACATGTGACTCTTAAGCACTCGAAGTGTGGTTAATCCAAATTGAGATGTATTGTCAGTGTAAAATATACACCAGATATTGAAGACTTAGTATGAAAAAATATCCCACTGACACTTTAAAAAATGATTATTTTTAAATTACAAAAATTGCATGTTGAGATGAAAAGATAGTTTTGATACATTGGGTTAACTATGTTAATGTAAATTATCATTATTATTTTTGAGACAGTCTTAATGTTGCCCAGGCTGGAGTATGGTGGCGTGATCACAGTTCACTGTAGCGTTGAATTCCTGGGTTCAAGTGATCCTCTCACCTCAGTCTCCTGAGTGGCTCGGACCACAGGCACACTGACCACCACGACTGGCTAATTTTTAAATTTTTGTAGAGACAGTATGTTACCATGTTGTCCAGTGTGGTCTCGAACTCCTGGGCTCAAGTGATTCTCTTGTGTTGTCCTCCAAAGGCACTGGGATTATAGGTGTGAGCCACTGTTCTGGGCTCAGTTTTTTTAATGTGACTACTAGAAGGTTTAATGTGTGTCTTCTATTAATTTGTGTTGGACAGCACTGAATTAGAGTATAAAATGGCCTGCCAGGATTACAATTTAATATCCTCTCACTTGTACAATATGAAATATGGAGACATATATAGTACACAAAGTACAGTTATGACAGTGTATATGGATGACTTTGGATATTTAAATCTGTTTGCATTTTAGTAAACTAGCAAGTATTTATACCAACAAGTATTTAAAAACCATATAGAGTTTTAAACAATTGCTTCTGGGCCATCCCTGAGACTTAAAAGTACAGAGAAACTGCCCTACATTTCCACTATACTGATGAGACAAGCAGGTTGAAAAGGAATCCTAAGTGACTGTGGAGTGTGTAGCACGGGCTGGGTTGGAGGAGTGATGAGGGTGGGATGGGACACCAAACCACAGGTAGGTCTCCTGGGTACGTTTCTGACAGGGCTTTGGTCAGCTCCAGGTGTTCTTCCTCTTTTCTTGCTAGATGGTGCATGTGTGGTATCTGACCCAAGTGTGATTTGCCTCTGAGTTCAGAATTGACTGGAAATCACTAAGTAGGTGGATTCCTGAGGCTGCAAGGGGTTAAAAATATTCATTAAGTTTTGCTGAAAAAATAGAAGGTGTGATGTGAAGCTGAAACTGCTTATAACCTTTGTTTTACACCCAAGCACAAGCCAGTAGAGTAGCGTGAAGGAAATGTTGCCCTTTAAGATTGATGACTGCTCATTTCCTTGCTCTTCAAAGGTCTTTTTGTCATTTGGATACCCAGCTGGGAATTTCAATCGTTTTAGAAGTTTGACTGACTGCTAAATAAGATGTATGTGATTTTTAGCTTTAATATTTTTAAAAATATCTTTATGATGTTGTTTGTTCCTTAATGTTTGAGTTGGGGTAAAAAATTCATTGCATTTTGGATCAGAGTTCTGACTTGATTTTTATAGATTTACTACTCAGCATCAAAAGTTATACATCTAACATTGTGATTTTTCATTGGTGATAATTCTGTAACAAACATTACACATTACATTGCATATTGAGAGGGGTTGGTTTTGAAAATGAGTATATTCATTGGTGATAGATTTTATAATCATAAAGCAAATATCTGTTTACATTAGAGCATAATCAGATAATGAAGTGGTTAGTAGAAAACAATAGACTATAGATTACAAAATTAAGATCTCATACAACAAAATATAATTAACACCGTAACTTGAATGTAATTTTTACGGGATTATCTTATGAATGGTAATGATTCTAAATGGTATGTGAAATGCTGTTACTAGCACATGCCAGTTGATAGAATGCTGGAAAAATCACATTTTACATTATATTTTAGATAGGATTTTTGTATGCTTGAGGGTGACTTGGCTTATGTTTTTTTTCTTTCCTTTTAGAATATGGTTTCTAGTTTTAGGGTTTCTGAACTACAAGTATTACTAGGCTTTGCTGGACGGAATAAAAGTGGACGCAAGCATGACCTCCTGATGAGGGCGCTGCATTTATTGAAGAGCGGCTGCAGCCCTGCGGTTCAGATTAAAATCCGAGAATTGTATAGACGCCGATATCCACGAACTCTTGAAGGACTTTCTGATTTATCCACAATCAAATCATCGGTTTTCAGTTTGGATGGTAGCTCATCACCTGTAGAACCTGACTTGGCCGTGGCTGGAATCCACTCTTTGCCTTCCACTTCAGTTACACCTCACTCACCATCCTCTCCTGTTGGTTCTGTGCTGCTTCAAGATACTAAGCCCACATTTGAGATGCAGCAGCCATCTCCCCCAATTCCTCCTGTCCATCCTGATGTGCAGTTAAAAAATCTGCCCTTTTATGATGTCCTTGATGTTCTCATCAAGCCCACAAGTTTAGGTAAGTGTTAGAGAATTCAGTTTCTTCTGAACAAGAGAGTAAATGAAATGAGAGACCTTCAACTATTGATTAATGATGTACTGTTAATATAATAAAATTGAGACATCAATGCCCAATGTTTGAATATACAGATAAAAATTCTGCAACCATGACTGAAATCTAACAAAAAATTTATTTCGTATCATTTGAGCTTTCTTCTTTTCCAATTCTTTTATTGTGGTAAAATACACATAATATAAAATCTATCATCTTCATCATTTTAAAGTGTACAGTTGAGTGGTGTTAAATATGTTGGTAATGTTGTGCAGCCATCACTGCCATCCATCTCCAGAACTCTTTTCATCTTCTGAAACTGAAACTCTGTACCCATTAAACAATAGCTTTCCTTTCCTCTCCTCCCACTAGCCCCTGGCAGTTACTATTCTGCTTCCACTGTCTCTGATTTTGACTATTCCAAGTACCTCATATCATTGGAATCATACAGTATTTCTCTTGTGACTGGCTTATTTCACTAAACTTAATGTCCTCAAGGTTCTAACATGCTGTAGTTTATGTTAGAATTTTCTGCCCTTTAAAGGCTAAATAATACGATAGTATACATTTTTAAAGAAAAATAGTAATCATTTACTCACTTCACCCCTCAGTCTCACTTTCAAGAGGCAACAACCTTAATTATTTTAGCCGTTTCTTCTGATTTTACTACTGTATTTCTGTGTTATAGGATACCACATTTTGCTTATCCATTGATGGACCCTTGGGTTGCTTCCACGTCTTAGCTATTGTGAATAATTCTGTGGACATGAGTATACAAGTATCTCTTTGAGACCCTGCTTTTCAATTCTTCTGGCTGTATACCCACAAGTGGAATTGCTGGATCACATGGTCATTCTGTTTTCAGTATTTTGAGGTATCACTGTACTGTTTTCCATGGCAGCTGCACCATTTTACATTCCCTTCAACAGTGCACAAGGGTTCCAATTTCTCCACATCCTTAACAACACTTTTATTTTCCTTTTTTTTTTTTTTTAAAATAGTGGCCATTCTAGTGAGTGTCAGGTGGTATCTTATTGTAGCTATGATTTGCATTTCTGTAAAGATGGTGATGTTGTACATTTTCATGTGCTTTTTGGCCATTTATGTATCTTTCAAGAAATGTATAGCCAAGTCTCTGGCCCATTTTTGAATTGGTTTGTTTTATTGTTGTTGAGTTTTAGGAGTTCTTTATATATTATGGATATAATCCCTTATCAGATATATGAATTTGCAAATATTTTCTCCCATTCTGTGGCTTGCTGTTTTTACTCTGTTGATAGTGTCTTTTGATGTACAACTTAAAATTTTTTCATGAAATTCCAATTTGTTTATTTTTTATTGTTGTTTCCAATGCCTTTGGTGTCATATCCAAGAAATCATTGCTAAACTTCATGCTGTGAAGGTTTTGCCCTGTGTTTTCCTCTAAGAGTTTTATAGTTTTAGGTCTTACATTTAAGCCTAATCTCTTTTGAGTTAATTTTTGTATATGGTATTAGGTGAGTGTCCAGCTTTTTTCTTTTGTTTGTGGATATCCAGTTTTTCCCCACCATTTGTTGAAAAGCCTGTCCTTTCCCTCACTTGTCAAAAAGTATTTGTGTATGTGAAGTTTTATTTCCAGGTTAGCTGTTCCAAGGTCCCCAACCCTCAGGCCATGGACTGGCACCAGTCCACAGCCTGTTAGAAACCAGGTCGCACAGCAGGAGGTGAGCAGCAGGAGGTGAACAGCAGGAGAACGAGAACGAGCATTACAGCCTGGGCTCCACCTCCTGTCAGATCAGCAGCGGCATTAGATTCTCATAGGTTCAGGAACCCTATCGTGAACTGTTTGTGTAAGGGATCTAAATTGCGTGCTCCTTATGAGAATCTAATGCCTTATGATCTGAGGTGAAACAGTTTCATCCAGAAACCATTTCCCTGGTCTGTGGGAAAACTGTCTGCCGTGAAACTGGTCCTGGTGCCAAAAAGGTTTTGGACTGTTGATTTATTCCACTGGTCTAGATGTCTGCCTTTATGCCAGTACCACAATTTTGATTACAGTAGCTATGTAATATGTCTTGGAATCAGGAAGAGTGAGTTCTCCAGCTTTAATTATTTTGTAAGATTGTTTTGGTTGTTTGGGACCCTGGAGATTCCACATGAATTTTAGAATGAGTTTTTCTATTTCTGAGGAATTGCAGTGAATCTGTAAATTGGTTTGGGTGATATTGATATCTTAGCAATATTAAGTCTTTCTTTTCCCACACAGACTGATGGGGAAAAAAAAGTTAAGTCTTCCAGTACATGAAAATGAGCTGTGTTTCTATTTATTTATGTGTTCTTTCATATCTTTCAGCAATGTTTTGTAGTTTTTATTGTACAGGTTTTCATTTTCTTGGTTAATTTTGAAATATTTTTCTTTTTGATGCTATTGTAAAAACTGCATAATTTCCTTTTCATCGTATTTATTATTAGTTTATAAAAATGCAATTGATTTTTGCATGTTGACTTTGTATTTTGCTACTTTACTGAATTCATTTATTCTAACATGTTTTTTGTGTGGAATCTTTAAGGTTTATTGTGTTTAAGAGCCTACCATCTGTGAACAGGAATAATTTCACTTCTTTCTTTTCTGTTTGTATGCCTTTTATTTCCTTTTCTTTCTTAGTTGCTCTGGCTGGAACTTACCTCAAGCATTCTTATGGTGTAGAACTCAGGTGGCTTCTCTGTGAATGGGACACATGTCTTATTTATTGATACTGATTTTGTGTTTTGATACTTTTCATATTTTTATAAGGGGATTTATTTTCCATTTAATGTAGCTTTTAAACTGATTTTCTAAGAAATAAACCTTTTATATTTAATTTTATTTCTAAAGTGGCACAGGGAGTTTGACATGTGTTTTTTTAGCTTTTATTTAATGCCCATCAATTGCTTACAATGTGACTAATAAATTTTTGCTTTGCTGTGTTACAATTCTTACTGTCTAATGAAATTATTTACAGATATATTTGGATTTCTTTATGAAATAAATGGGGAAGTAATATTTCATAGTCGATCTGGAAGATTACTTTCTTTTCTTTCTTGGGAAAACCCTTTTTATTTTCAGTCATGTGAAAACTCTTAAACGTATCAGTGTGCTTTTTCCCTTTCTTACAGGATTGTACTGCAGTCTGTCTTGGTTAAGTCAGAAGGTCGTGAGGGGTAGAGCTAGTAAATGGGTTAGTATGGCCTGACTAGGGGCAGGCAAGGTGGCTTTTTTTTTTTTTTTTTCAGTTTTTTGCTTTTTGCTTTATTTGTGTTTTAGCAAAACTGGTGATCCAAGCAAGTGGAGTATTGCATTTTATCTCTTTATTACATTCACTTTGAAATAAGGATTGAGTGTTTGTTCACATTTTATTATTTGTACAAAGTCCTGTGAGTAGAATTATTGGATCAAGTAATAAGAACATTTTAGACTCTTGAAAACATATTGCCAAATTATTTTAGTGCCAGTTTAAATTCCACAAGCAAAGTGAGATAATGCCTGTCGTATCTCGTTACTTTTTGCCTTTATTGGGTGCTATTAAAAACAGATCTTTGTGATTTTTAGATGAAAACTTGTATCTTGCTTAAATTCTTATTTTTTTTTAATTTTTATTTATTTATTTATTTATTTATTTTTTTGAGACAAAGTCTTGTTTTGTCGCCCAGGCTGAAGGGCATTGGCGCCGTCTCAGCTCTCTGCAGCCTCCACTTCCCAGGTTCAAGCAGTTCTCCCGATCAGCCTCCTGAGTAGCTGAGGCTGCAGGCATGTGCCACCACACCCAGTTAATTTTGTATTTTTAGTAGAGATGGGGTTTCACCATGTTGGCCAGACTGGTCTCGAACTCTTGACCTCAGGTGATCCACCCGCCTTGGCCTCCCAAGGTGCTGGGATTACAGGCATGAGCCACCATACCTGGCCAACAAGAGCAAGTATTTTAAATGCTTATTACCCAGTTGTCTGTCTTTTATGATTTTACTTTCATCTTTAGCCTTGTTTTTAAAGAGTTGATTTATCTAGTTAAAATATTTCCGTAATTTGTTTTGTAATTCCTCCTTTATCATGGTATTTGGACAGTATCATGCACAATATTGTGTCTCATTTATATGTTCTGCCCCAGCAGTTATTGTAAATTTATTACTTAAAAAAATTTTTTTTCCTTATTTATGTTGAAGGACTAGCAAATTTATTACTTTCTATTATTCTGAGAAAGATTCAGACTAGTAATATGCTTAAGTAGCCCTACTTCATGAGGCCCCTCAGGAATATGGCTAAGCACAGGACAGAGAGGATAAGAGGGTCTGTAGGGTAGTGGTTACAGTGGAATGTGTTTTAGAGACATGGACAGAAGACTGGGGACTAAGTGAAGATGCTTGCAGTAGGCTTTTGCTCCGTGGTACTCCAAGAGGGAGACACGGGAGAGGCCTTGTCCTTTTCTCTTTCCTTGCCTTCCTACTTTGTTCACAAATAGAAATAGAAATTTTCTTACTTTGCTCTGTTCATCACAGAGTTTCTCTTTTATTAACCTCAGTAAAATTAAATAGTATGCTCATTATAATTGGTGTTCAAAACTATCTCATTGTAATCCCAGCACTTTGGGAGGCCGAGACGGGAGGATCACGAGGTCAGGAGATCGAGACCATCCTGGCTAACATGGTGAAACCCCGTCTCTACTAAAAATACAAAAAATTAGCCAGGCATGGTGGCGGGCGCCTGTAGTCCCAGTTACTTGGGAGGCTGAGGCAGGAGAATGGCGTGAACCTGCAAGGTGGAGCTTGCAGTGAGCCAAGATCGTGCCACTGCACTCCAGCCTGGGCGACAGAGCTAGACTCCGCCTCAAAAAAAAAAAAAAAAAAAAACTATCTCATTTGGCTTAGATAAAATAATGCCAGAGATATTTTGTTTTGAAGAGTAACTAAACTCCCTGCATTTTGCTTATAGCTTCAGCTAGAATGCCAGAAATACA